CCTGATTCCCTCAGAGGTGGGAGCTGAAGCAGTGTGGATAGGGGGTGTCTCCTGGAGGAGGATGGAGAAGAGGGTGGAGGCTCCTCCCAGAACACCTCAGGCCATGCCAGGGTCCTTCTGCCCACCCCCAGGCCCTAATGCAGGAGCCAGGCCTGGACTGGACAGCTGGAGAAGCTCCTGGGGCCAACCGCTCCCACCCGGGGCCACTGGGGCTGAGCTAAGTGAAAACAAATGTTCTCTGGCTGTTTCCAGCCCAGTCTTGGCGAGCAGGCCCTCCCTCTCAGCCTCTGCTCCCCTTCCCCTCCTCAGAGCTCCTCCACAGCCCCCCTCCAGTTCTTTCTCCCTTTGACTCATGGGGTGATCAGAAGTTTGGGGTGTAGGTAGGGTTGAGAGATATGGAAAATGTGGGGCAGGTGGACTCTGTGGGGAACTGGAATATGGGGTGGGGGGCTCCCTTGGACAAAGGCCCAGAGGGGGTCTCAGAGGAAACTTGGCTTGTAAGGCAGGGATCCAATGGGCTAAAGTGGGAACCAGGCATTTGAGCTCCCACCCTTGGCTGGAAAGGCACACTCTCCTGACTTCAGGTGGGCTGGGGAAAGCTGGAGTGGAGCGATGCCGGGTACAGAAGAGGAAAATGACCCTTTTTCTTTCTCCTTCCCTTCATCTCTCTAGAGGACTAGGCTTTCCTCTCCCTGTTCTCCTGGAGAACCTAGACACCCAGGGCCCTTAGGAATTCTCAAGTCCCAGTCACCACCCTGAAAGAATGGCAATCAGGTCCCCTTGCTGGGGAAGGGGGAGGGAAGACGGTGCAGAGGGAGGGAGAGAGGGAGGTTACTGGGAGGGGAAGGGTCACAGGCCCAAATTCCTAGGCTCCTGCAGCTTCAGTCATTCTGAGAAACAAAGAAGCAGAGAAAGTGATTTAGAGACAGACACAAATAGAAACCGAATTCTGGAGATGGAAGAGACATGAAAAGGCACGGAAAGACAGAGAGAGAGGATCCAACAGACAGAGGGCTCTGCTTTCCCCTGCAGCGACTCCGATGTTATCTCTCTCCAGCTGCCTCTCTCCCCCTCCCCAGTCCCCACCTCTGCTCCTCCTCCCTCTCCCATCCCACAGCCAGACATCCCTGTGCTCCTTCCCCCTCTTTCTTTTGCACCAGGGCCTAAAAGTGGAGTTAAAAGGTTCTCAGAACTAAAGGCAGAGCAACAGAGGAAGAGGTGGAGGGGGCCCAGTGCCCAGAGGACTGACGGAGCGGGGATCAGAGTGGCAACACTCCACTCCATGCTGCCCCCTTCTGGGCTGCCACCTTCCAATCTTCCCAGAATGTTCCTCCACATGCATGTCTGAGCAGAGGTGGGGGGGGGGGCGGTGCGGGGAGCAGTGCATGTAATCTCCAGGGAGGCAGGCACTGTCTCAGCCTGAGCCAGCCCATCTGTGTGTCCATCTGTACCTGTGCGTGAAAGTTACTCAGCATTGTCCAGGGGAGGCAAGGATGTCCTGGTGTTTCTGTGGGGTTATCTGGATGCCCGTTGCCCAGGTGTGGGTGGATGTGTGCAAGTGTGCATGTGTGTGCACGCATCTTGATCTTTGTGTACCTCTGTCTCTGTCCCCCCAGCCCTGCTCCATGAAAAGTCTTCTAGGGTAATAGTGGGGGACCGAAGCCTTGGGAACATCTGAACTCATCTCTCTAAAGGTTTGGAACGCATAAGGGCAGAAGTCATTGCTCTGGTTTCTGCCCAGATGCCAGCCAACGCCTAGGTGGGGGTGCAGAGAAAGCAAAAGAGAGTAAGCAGAAGCACAGTTGCCCTCGGAGCCGAGGCCTGCCCATCGCAGACTCCAGCAGACCCCTCCCCTGCCCCAGTGCTTCTGCAGACACTGCTGGGCCAATGGGTTCTGCAGTGGGACTCTGGGGGGGATGAGGGCTTAGGGAATCCAGGGATGGCCAAATATTCTTTAAGATCTGGCCAGAGAGAGTGCTGCAGGAGGGGTGGGGCGATCTGTGTGTGTTTGTAGGAAAGGTGGGGGGTGGGGGCAGAAAGGCCGCCTGCGGGGGAGAAGGCTTCTTGGCAAACGCCCCAGTTTCCTGCGCTTATCCCTGCTCCCTGCCACTGCTCCCAATTCTGTTGTTTCAATAACATCATTTTTATCCACCCCACAGAGAGACTGTGTCTTCGGAGAGGGAGGCGAGGGGCAGGGCTAGGGCATGAGGGGGTGGTAATGGAAAGAGGCTGGGGTCTGGAGACAGCAGGGACTAGATTTGGGGCGCTCCCTCCTCAGGCAGAGGCAGGGCGGTCCCAGAGCCCCGGTCCCCTGATGACAAAGACAAATACATTAAAATTCTTGCCTCGGAGAAGAATGCAGGATAGGGAGAGCATTTCATAATCTGCAATAACAGTAGCGGGGTGGGGGCAGGGGTGCGTAGGGGACTCAGAACCCAGGCAGTGGTTCCCAGGGGTCTGGTCACTGGCCACCTGCAGCCTTTAGGAACCCGCAAAGCTCTCCAGATGCCTGTTTAGTACCATCTGGCCTGAGTGTGTGCCCAGCCTGGGTCTGTCTTTGAGTGTGCCGTGTCCAAAGTTGGCATTGCCCTGCAGAAACAGTAACTGCGTACAAAATTAAGAGGTGCAGAGGCCATGGGTGGTAGCTGGCTGCTATGAAAGGCTAAAATGGGAGGGGGCAACACTTGGGCCCTGTGCCCCTTATTAGCTCCCTCAGCCACTAGACGACCCACCCAGGGTCCCTTCCCCTTCTCTAGAGTGCTCCAGCCCCCTCATCAAAATTCTCTGTCCCCAGTACAGGGCATTAGACTGACACAGCCGGGACACCACTGGCCGTGGGGTTGGGCTCACAGCAAACCTAGGAGCTTCCCCATGTGCCTAGGGCAATGTTTCTCCATTTCTGTTTTCCACTTGCTCATCCATCCTTCCCCAGATCTGCCTCGTCCCCTGGGTTAGGCATCAATGGTCTTCTGTGGCATCCCCTTCGTCCCCCAGCTTCAGAATCTCTATTCACTTGTCCCCACTCTCTGGGGGACTCAATCTTGCCTTCTCTCTGCTCACCAAGGATGTTTATGTCTCTTGGCAGCGGCCTCGCTCCCAGAGTTCAGATGCTATCTCCACCCCAAAAGACCAGGAGCTTTCCTCTGGGTGCCTGAAGCTTCTACCACTTGGGAGATCCACTCCCCCCCCCCCTTTAAAGGTTGATGCCACTCTAGATGGCGGTGATAGGGAAACTGGCGCTTGCTATGGAATGTCCTGCACCACCTGTCCCTCGGCACCCTTGGGGCAAGCAGGCGGAGGGGAGGAGCGGGGACTGCAGTCACTGCCAGTAGCTTGGTGTGATGAATGGAGCTGTCCCCCCTCCCCACGGGGCCTTTGATCTCCCCCCCCCCCGTGGGGGAGGGAGCATCAAAGACATTTTTGTGGCACTAGAGAATCAGATAAACACCATCTCACCTGCAGCTGGCTCTTCCACCCCTTCTGGCCCCGGCCAAGTTGGGGAAGGAACGTGAGGCAGGCTACACGCGGACACGCGGACACGCGGACACGCGAGGCCCGGCTGCAGAGAGATCTGCCCTCCTAATCTCTTGCAAGTCTGCAACCTCAGCTCTACCGCTCGCTTACACGTGCGAGCGCTTGAGCGCAGGCCATCCAAGAGGTTCCTCTTGCTGTCTAATCTCCCCTTCGCAGCCCTCCCCCGAACGCGGGCTTGAAGAGGCGGGGTGGCTGGGGAGCGAGAGCGGAGGCCTAGGGCTTCCTCCTTTCCTCGAGGAAAGGCTGAGAAAGGCGCGTGCAGTGCGGAGGCGGGGCCGGTAAGGGGTGACCCCCTCCTGAGTCCGCCCGTCCGACGGTCGAGTTCGGCACCCCTCCCCGGAGCACCCAGCGCCCCAGGCGGACTTCCTCTCCCGGCCCCGGCTCCAGCATCTCCCTCCGAACCGCGCCCCCCCCAACTCCCTCATTCCTGGGAAGTTTTCTCTCTTTACAGTCAACAAACCTGTCAGACGTCTCCCTTCCAGCCCGTCCCCCATTCCCCAGCTCCTCTTCCACCCCCCCTCCCCGCCCTTACTCCTCTCCACCCTGCTCCCCCGCCCCTCCTTGCCCCTGACTCTGGGCGGCGGCGGGGGGCTCCCAGTCCGCGAGAGGCGAAGGGAAGGGGCGAGGCAGGCGCGTCCCGCAGCCACCGGCGCTCTCGGGCCCCGCCCCGGGACCTCGCACCCGCCCTCCGCTGAGCTCCACGCCTGCAGCCCCGGGGCGCACGGCTCCCTCCCGAGAGTCCCGCCGCCTGACTGTCGCAACTGCCACCCCACGGCCCCCCTGCCCCCGCCC